GTCTCATAAAACAAGATACACCATTCGAATGGAAACCAGAACATCAGAAGTCATTTGATAAATTGAAAGAGGTGATTGGCTCGGTGGAAAATTTAGGTTACTATGATCCAAAGGATAGAACTTTGGTTGTCACGGACGCTTCGGGTGTCGGATTAGGGGCAGTCTTAATCCAGTTCAAAGGAGACAAACCCCGAATAATCGGTTATGCTTCAAAAAGCTTGTCAGAAACGGGAAAGTCGTACCCACCAATCGAAAAAGAGGCTCTCGGGATAGTATGCGGTTCAAGATATACTTGATGGGGATTACCTTCGAGCTTGAAACAGATCATCGACCGTTAGAGACCCTTTTTACAGTAACTTCCCGCCCAACAGCAATAATAGAGCGGTGGTTGCTTCGTATTCAAGCATTCAAATTCAAGGTAAGAAGGAACAGACTAATTTTAATGATAAACATTACCAGTTTTTACAAACATGCAAATTCTAACAGGTAGTATATCGGAAAGGCTCAGCAAATATTGCTGACGTGCTTTCAAGGCTCGCGGCTCACGTTACAGACAATCGATGGATTGATGAGTCTGAGGTTTTAATTAGGCGCGTCGTAGCTGTGTCGGTAGCTGAACTGAGTAGCGAAAGTTGTCGGGATGCATTTGATTCGGAAACAGAGACAGTGATTAGAGCTATTCAAGAGTGTGCAGCAATTGATATTTCGGAAGTTGTACAGGCCACCAATTTAGACCCTGAGTTGCAGAAGCTTAAAGATTGTATTCTGAATGAAAAATGGAATCGGGAAGATTTGAAACCTTACACCGTACTTAGAAATTAATATTCATATGTCAATGATCTTCTAATGCGAGGGACAAAATTTGTTATACCCTCTTCATTGCGGCAAAGAATGTGCAACCTTGCACATGAAGGACATCCTGGCCAGTTCATGATGAAACGACGGTTGCGGGGACGATGCTGGTGACCGGGTATCGATCAGGACGTGGTGAAGATCTGTGAATCATGTGAAGGCTGCAGACTGGTACAAGTCCCTGATCCCCCGGAACCGATGACACGACGTGCTCTTCTTGATAAACCATGGGTGGATGTGGCCATTGATTTTCTGGGTCCCATGCCAACAGGAGAGTATGTACTAGTTATCGTTGACTACTATAGTCGATACATGGAACTGGAGATTATGACTGAAATAACGGCTCAGCAAACTATCGGAAGGCTTAAACGAGTTTTTCGTATTTGGGGCCCTCCAAGAACCATTACTCTTGACAATGCGAAACAATTTGTGTCCACTGAGTTCGAGGAATTTTGTGGGAACAATGGAATCCACTTGAACCACTCATCACACTATTGGCCACAGGCCAATGGAGAAGTAGAGCGACAGAATAGGTCGTTGCTGAAGAGGATGAAGATTGCAAATGCCCTGTACGGAAACTGGAAGGCTGAATTGGACAATTATTTGCACGTGTACAACAACACGCCGCATACTATTACAGGGAAATCTCCAAGCGAACTTTTGCAAAACAAGAAGTTGCATACAAAATTGCCACAGATAGATGACCTGTAAACGATACCGCCAAGCTCGGATTTTAGAGATAAAGATCATGAAATGAAAACGCTCGGGAAAGAGCGGGAGGATAAAAGACGTAAGACAAAAGTAAGTGAAATATCTGTGGGTGACACTGTCCTGATGAAGAACCTATTGTCAACAAACAAACTCGCTACGAATTTCTTAAATGAGAAATGTACAGTCATTGACCGGCGAGGCTTTAATGTAACAGTTCGATCAAATGAATCCGGACGGATTTATGATAGAAATACATCACACCTTAAGCTACTGCCTGCTTCATCGAATGAAGAGACTGATAGCTGCAACGGACATCGAGACGACCTTCAAATCGAGCAGTCAGTAAAGGACACTAATTTGATCATACCTGTGGCCGATGATGTGGATCACAGCCAACCGGCTTCGTCATCAGGTTCGGGGGCGATTCGACGAACGGGCAGAGTTCACAAACCAGCAACGAGATACAGTCCGACAAGATAAGTATAAATTAGAGATAAATAGTTGTTAAAGATACATGATAATATTTATTATACAAAAAGGGTTAATAAATCTTTCTCCAGGAAAAGGGGGATGTGGTAGATGCTTCTATTAGAGATGAGTGAGTACGCTCTCGGAGAGGGATCGTGTGAGTTCGGTTGCTGCACCACTGTATGTGCTTCGTTATCTCTTGCTCAGTCTTTGAGTAGATGGCTTACAGTTCGGTTCGCGTGTTCTGATCACCACACCCATTTTTGGGTAACTTCCTTTTTGACTGGACTGAGTGAGTTTCGACTCGCTTTATACCCTGGACAGACTATGGCTATGGCAATGAGCACTCATACATAGGATTTCCAGTTAAAACTAGATGTATGAGTGCTCATTGCAAGATAGCTTATATTACATGATATAAGCCATAGTTTGTCCATGGTATTACTGTCTATAGACTTATAGAGATTAGACTTATAGAGAGGTGAAAATACTCGATGGTCGAAAACATTTATCCACACGTAAAATTCATCAGAAAATAGCAAATAGGCGAATTGACTCTCATGTTTAAAACCTCTATAACAAAAAAATAAGCAAATAGCATGTAAACAAACCTATTATTCGATAAGCTTTTCTTAAATGCGTCTCCAATACTGATACTTGTAGCACTGAAACTAACAAGTGCTTAAAACGGTGGTGTAACACATTGTTTTTGCTGGGAGTCAAATCTGAAGCAAAATGCACAATTCCTGCCTTTTAACGAATATGCGTTGTATCCGCAGAATCATATATATCATCTAATTTTTCGTTAATTATTCTATGTTACATTACTATACGATGCCGCGTATAGAAAGTAGGGTAAATGATGGCTTCGGCAGCCATCGACTGTTTTCGGCAACCACAATTTAAACGTTAATTTCGGTGTATTTTCTCACTAAAACACTTCGCTGAATGTATTTAAACGATTCCTTATTTTTTCAGCTTCAATCCTAATACATTTTTACGACTGAGCAAACCTGTTATGCCAGGTGTTTCTGCAAAAGAAACATAAGCACATCAAAATACGGCTGATTTCGAGTTGCCGATAATAGAACAGCTGGTTTACACGCAGTTTAAACGGAAAGGTTGCCGAAGTAAAAGAGGCTGCCGACAATAGTCACACTCACCTGAGAAGTTTGTAGCGCCTTAAAAACGTTTTCAAACTGTTTTGGACAGTTTTGTTGATTGGAATGGATAGAATAGCTAGCAGCAGATGAATGTTAACAAACAGACACATCATATGTGTGCGTGACACTGAGAAAATGCTAATAGAAGTGCGGAAGCTGCTTAGATTGACGAGAATACGTAAATTCCCCTATATGTATAGTATGAGTCAGGTAAATCAATGAAAGTTTTCTGCTTATAAAAAGGCTTATGAAAAGGAGTCCTTATTTGAATATTGTGTCAATTAACTATATGGGTCAGCTATGATATATATATATATATATGAATTTATTTGTTTGCAACAGGTGTAATGCAATGATATTTTGCTTTGTTCAACCAGCTACATTGGCTACATTGTTGATAAACAAAAATATAAATAAATCATTTACCATTTTGCCCCGTGACCCATTTAGCCCTAAATGACTCTATACCTAATCGCACAACAAATCATTTTGAGCTACTTATAGGAAATTTATCTCTCTTTCCAAATCTGCAATAATATTTGAGGGTAACTTTTAATTATTTTTTCAGTTGCGGTACAAAAACTTTAAAAAAAATCAGGTAAATACGTGCATATGTAGGGGAAGTGACGGCTTCGGCATGACATACTATTTTCGGCAACCCAAATTGAAACACTATTTTCACTGGATTTTCTTACGAAAACACTTCACTGAATGCATGCAAACGATTATTTATGCTTTCAGCTTCAATTTGACTATATTTTTACCACTGAGAAAAAGCAATCTAGCAAGGTTTTCTTGAAATGCAACACAGGCACTACAAATTGTAGCTGATTTCGAGTTGCCGATAATAGAACAGCAGATTTACATGCAGTTCAAATGGAACGGTTGCCGAAGAAAAACTGGTTGCCGACAATACTCGCTCTCACTAGAGAAGATTGGAGCTTTGTAAAAGCGTTTCAAAACAGTTTTTGACAATTCTTTCGACTGAAATTGTTAGAGCAGCTGGCAGCAAAAGATTGTAAACAAACCAATACTGCATATGTGTGCGTTCCTTAGAGAAAAAGGCTATAGAAAGAAGGTCGCTGCTTAGGTTGCCGAGAATACGTAAATTACCCTATATCCTAGTCAGGGAATCAAAACAGAGAGAGCAACCAACAATGAAGACATAATGCTTGCGACGGCTACCACGATAAAGTCTCTGTAAATAGCTTCACCATACCGATGGAAGAAAACGATAGGATTGCTTGCAAGCTTTGTAGCAACAATTGCGATTAACGACATAGCTTGATTGGAATGGTGAAATGACAGCCACATTTACTTACGTGTAACATTTCCAGCGTATGTTATGAAGAGGCTTACAAACAATTTGGCGTTTTGCTTCCACAGTTCCGATCAAGCTGTGTAGCAGGCGGAGTTTTTCATGAAAAAAACGCAAGAGGACATTGTCGTTTTGTTGCCGTTACTGACAAAGCGTAATCATTTTGCTCGTTGATCGTTTGTTATTTTGTCATTTTTAAATATTTTTGATTCCTGGTACACGCTGGTAGAATGTGTCATTTGATCTAGTGACCTCTTCGGCCCAATGGCGAACAGCCTGCTAGTATCCTTCATCTTAAAAACTTGTTTGCCCCACCCATTCTATTTTGAAACTTGACTACGGCCCTTGTTTTACAAAAAGATACAATGTGCGTGAGCCTTTCTCAGCAGGCAGTTTCGCTCTGATCCATTATGCAAAATTAGATCTTTGTTCATATTAATGAAATTCGCGAGTATTCATTCACGCTTGTCTCATGCGAATCTACTTACTCTTATGAAGCTGCAACGTTTCCTCATTCAATTCATCAGTGACCTCGACTTTTGGCTTCTTACAAGGTGATTCACTTTCTATTTTGTCGGCTTCTACTTTTTCAACAATGGACGAACCAGCTTCCCCCGCTTTGCCAGCCTTTGATGTTACATCTTTCTTCGTAGAGGACTTGTGTTTCTTTCCTCTCGAACTTGATTTGGCTTTTGTTGGTGCGCCCTCCTCAGCTGCCTGTTCACGTTCCTCTGGATCTGTGCCTCCAGGCACATTTATCATTTTTTCTATTTGTTCATCTGCAGTGCTGATCGCTTTCAGTTCA